TCAGCCGCACTGCGACTTCTGGGCCTCCGGCGGCGAGTGCCCGCGGAACCCGGGCTACATGAACCAGTTCTGCCCCGTGGCCTGCGGCGCGTGCGGCGTGCGGGCCGACCCGCGGAAGCGGTGCCACGACCTCTTCCCCGACTGGTCCGTGGAGGACGACGCGCGCCGCGCGGACCCCCAGGCCTACCTCGACGGCGTCTTCCAGGGCAGGACAAGAGAGCGACATTCCCAACTTCAAAGGCTCCGATCTCGGCCGTTTTCCACTCGTTTCGGCTGATTTTTGGACGAGCGATCATCCCTTGGAACGGTCTCGAAGCGTGGATGCTTTTTCCGGGACGCGCGCGCGCGGAACACTCACGTTGAAGCGACGTTGAATCACTCTTGTCCTGCCCAGGCGTCTTCTCGCGCGCGCGCGACGCGCTCGCGGCCGGGGCCGACGCGGACGGCGACGGTCCTCAGCCGGAGGCGACGGTCCTCAGCCGCGACCCCTGGGTGCTCCAGGTCGACGGCTTCCTGTCGGCGGCGGAGTGCGACGACGCCAAGGCGACGCTCCACGAGCACGAGACGCTCACGGCGCCCGACCGCCGCGCGGACGAGCCGTACCCGCGGCGCACGGCGTCCTACGCGTGGTGCCTCGCGGACTGCCGCCGGGCGCCCGTCTTCGCGCGGCTCGCGGCGCGCGTCGCGGCGCTCGGCGGCTGCGGCTCCGTGAACCACACGGACTCGTTCCACCTCGCGCACCTGCGGCCGCGCGAGCAGCTCGGCCGGCACCACGACTTCCTCGACGACGAGGTCATGAGGCCCGGCGGGCCCCGGCTCCTGGCCTTCAAGTTCTTCCTCGACGACGTCGACGACGGCGGCGCGCTCCGCTTCCCGGAGCTCGGGTTCGACGTCGCGCCCCGCGCGGGCCGCGCGTTGGTCTACGCGCTCGTCCGCGGCGACGACCTCCTCGCGCCGGACCTCCGGACCCAGGTCGAGTACCTGCCCGTCTGGACCGCGGGCCCCGGGGCCGACGCGTCCCAGATCCTCGAGACGTGGACGCACCTCCACGACTACCGCGGCCCCCACCTCCACTCGTGCCTCGGCCCCCACGCGGCCTACGACTCGGAGCTCATCGGCGACCAA